TTTTCCAGTAACCCTAATCCTCTTCCATATGTTTCAGACTGGAATTAAGTGAGCTGTTTTTTTTTCTGTGTGAAACATGAAATAATTGTCTCACATTGCAGTGATGTTCTTTGAAACCAGTTTGACTAAAAACCAAAAGTGAAAGAGCTTGGCACATGGACATTTCCCATGCCTAATTTCATGCAGGTTTACTCAACTGAGCAGCAAAGGATTTCCTTTCTGTATACAAGCACAGACATTAAGGCTCGGGTTTCGAATTTATTAGATACGCAAACATATGTGTTAAAATTCGGCCAATTTAATGTGCTTCTGGAATTTGTACTTTTTACTTGCTTTACTCGAGCTACTAACAGTCAAGATAAATGTTTTTTGTTTTTTTTCTACATTTAAACTCGTTTTAGGGTACTTTAGAAGCATTAAGGAGCGCACAAACAAAGGGGGCAAACAGATTTATCGCATGCAGCAGTTAAGGGTTTCTAAGCCAGCTGTTAAAACACAAGTTTTCAGAGATTCCAACCTGGGAAAAAATATTCATAATGGCTTTTTGTTTGTGAAAATCACCGTTCTTATCACCCCTTTAAACATCCATAGGGACTTAATTCTTCTAAAAGTTCATGTGAAGTAAACGCCAGGGTAAACAGCGTTACCATTAGCATCTAGCGGCTAAAAACTGCATACTGTGAAGCACAAACAAATTTAACTACAACGCACCACATCCTGGTTTTAAAAGAATGCATTTAAAATAGCATTCAGGTGCATACGTTTGGCTTCTAATTCATTATAACTGAAAAGGGAGTAAATAAAACTGAAAAATCCGTTACCTCAAAACTGTTAAGGTTTGCGTCGAACGTCAAAGTGCAGTCTCACGCTATCCACTTCCTGTATTCATTCAGCACTAGTCCCGCCTCTTGACCAATGACAATGTTGTATTTTTTTCATAAACGTAAAGTCCAACCAATCAGAAAGTAGGGAGTCCTCTGCTAGTCTGTGGACCGGCATCAAGAGAAAAAAAAAAACAAAGCTTTGCGAAAACAATGCTTTTTTAAAAGTGATTCAGACAACCCATTATGTGTAATATTTGTGCATATTTTTTTCACCGATTTTTAAATGATTGTTGTTTTAATTTAGACCACAAAATATAGCTCGCCATCTGACGAGGTGGCCGAGTGGTTAAGGCGATGGACTGCTAATCCATTGTGCTCTGCACGCGTGGGTTCGAATCCCATCCTCGTCGAAAATTATTGTTTTCCTACAATAAATTATATCTTATTGCAGAGTTATGAACATATTGGTCGTTACCTCACGACTTAAATTATAGTTCAGGTTTAGGTACCAGGTCTTCTCCGGTGGGAATGTCTGATCATATTTGCTCCGGCCCTTGCGCATGGCAGCGACGTTGCGCTATATGATTGGCTGAACGTTGCCACGTGACCTAAAACATTGTGGTTGCCCAGACGACGGTAATAACATCATGCAGAGTCTGTGTGCCGAGCCGGGAGTATTATGTAGCGTTAGCGTGTCTAATGACCGATGTTTTACCTGATTGATCACAAAGCTGAAACTATCTTTTTAAGGTGAACAAAGTAAATGATGCGCTGTGGCTAGCTGTGCTCACTAGCTAACGGGTTAGCCTATTTTAGCTCGGTCAATTAGCCATATTGAGCTATACCACTTATAACTTCATGTCAACAACAACCGTTCTATTCCTACAAGCACACTGTTTTCTTTGTTTAAAATATCTACGAAAGTCATTCTTAAGATGTTCATTTTTTTTATAAAAAGAAGCACAGACTTGTTGTTTCATTCGATATGGTCGATTCGATACGATGAGAATTGTTTATAGTTCTTTTTAAACTTCTGTTTATGATTTAATGTTTCTACAAAATACATAATTAAAAAATTACAATAAGTAACTGGAAAAAAAATCTGAGCATTCGTGTCAAGTTTCGCCAAATCCAGTTTATTCCAACAGCATTTAAACGCCCCATTGGAAACGGGGAAATTACGGGATATTTAAGCTTTCCAATGTCCTTTAAATGCGTCATCCACAGTTTACGTAACATAAAGTAAACGACTACATTAGAAGCAATTAAGCTAAATTGACCCACTTTCACTGATAGATATGGTGAAAACAGTTATTATTGTGCCAAAAACAAACAATTAAAACAGTTTAATGAAGAAACATACCAAGCTACTTAGAACATGGGACGCACTAACACACTATTTCTTCAATTAACCAGACAATAAAAGAGGAAAACTTACAGTCTCGTGGACGCATCAACTCTTGTGAAAAGAAGACGTAAAAGTCCAAACTTAGAAAGAAAAAAAAGTTGTTGCTGTCGTCTGCTGACCGTTACCTGCGAACTAACTAGGAGAGATAATTAAAGTGGCGAGAAAAGTGAGCTCTGATTGGTTGTTGCCTGGTAGCCAAATTTCAAACTATTATGGGATGCTGATGCGTTCAAAGTATTTGGAAACAAAAAAAAAAAAAAAATCAAAACTTTATGAACATCTGCCCCCAAATTTGATAAACAAAGTAAAATAAAATAAATTTGGGATGTCCTGTGGTACACTTTCATTAGGCTTATTTCCAAAAATTTGTTCGGATATATATTTATTAAATGCTCTCCTATTTTTGAGAACACAAGACCACAATACACTGATATTTATATTTATAGACGTTAGAGAGATGCCTTTTAGTGCATTAGAAATATAGGGCCCAAAAGCATCAATGCAAGAAAGAAATACAGTAATAACAGCCGATTCCAATGCCCTAGAAGAGCAATTTTAATTCCATCCAGAAAAAATAGGATATAATGCATTTAAATTATAGAATAGCATATATTTATTTCTTGTAAACATTCTTGTAAACTTGTAGATATATTTTATTGCATGTTGCATTTCCCAGTAAATCTGTTTCACCTTTAAATCTGCAGCTCTCCCTGCTTCTCTCTGTTTAAAAAGATTTATGGACCTATTTACTAATATAATGAGGCCAGAAACAACATTTCAAGATATGTAGAAGCTCTGCAGTCTGATTCTGTCTGTACAATAAAAAAAAAAACATGTTCATTTTAACCTGTTACTGGGAGTCATGGTCCTCTGAGAAGCCCAGATTTTTTAACTAGTAAAGAAGAACAAACTATGTTTTCTTAGGCTTCTTGCATTACAATACAAACTTGTTTAAACATATAATCTGTTGCCATTTTTAGCTGAAAAAGCTCCGTATGTCTAACAAACAGATTTTTCGGTGGCATCTCTAATCTCTGACCTGCTCCAAGTGATGCGTGTAAGGAGAAAATAAATAGTTATTCTTTATAGATTTATGTAGTTTCATCATTTTATATGGTTAGTGGAAGTTGTTGGTACAACTTCTCTTAAAGGAATAGTTCAGTATTTTTTGTTGAGTGAGGTTCCTTTTAACAGGTTGGTGTCCTACCTGCAGATAACTCTGTTGGCATCTTCCTTCATTATAAACATAGATAGCTGAATTGAGATACAAAGCAGACTTCTATCATCTTACAACAACATTCTCAAAATTAAAAACAACTAATGTGACTGCTTCCTTATGTGGTTTAACCTGGTGAATTGCCACTGGCATTGTCTTACCTTTATATAACTCTTAAAGCCCCAGCAGGAAGTTAGCCGTGCAGCCGACGAATAGGCTATTATTCAGCTGCTCTCCATCAACCGGAGAAGAGCAACAACACAAGGGCTTGGGTTTGATTTCAACTTTGGTAGGGACACTACTGGTCTGATGTAATTGGTCCTATGCAAAATTATGCATGCTCTGTTTTTTATACTTGAAATTCAGGGTGTAGTTTGTTTAAAGAGAAAAGCAGCATTTCTTGCTACATTTGTAAAAATGTTGTAAGCGCTACACACACTAGATGCTGTTTATCAATGTTTGAAGCATCATCGGCTCTGATGACAGAGGAATTATGACTTTTTTCCACTTTGAAAAGGTCTGCATTTGAAATTACCAGCGACTGAGACAGAAAGTAAATCTGTGCCTATTTAACAAAATATAGTCTAAATATGTCTGTTATTTGTAGATTTATCCTGTTTTTTCCTTTTGAAGAAAGACAGTTGTGCAGAGGTAAAACCCACACTTATCTTTTAAATATTCTCTCTGTATCATGAAACAAAGCAAAATAATAGATTCAAGGGACACCAAATACATTTATTGTATAGTTAGTCTATTTAACCCATATCATGTATATGATATATATACTAATACAGCAATTTGGCAACAAATTTAGTAATCAATTAATCATTAACTGGTATATAGAGACTCTAAAAGATGTCTTTAGCTCACAGAGCAACCCACGTAGAGTAGGAATTATACCAATTCCATTACAATACCATTGTAAAAAATATATAAAAAATGTTTTCGTCTGTCAATATTCTCCATCCCCTCTACTGCTGCAACAAAGCTGTATCGTAAATTATAAACATGTTATTCACATCTAATTGTTGGTAGGGACAAGAAGGTCGGTCCAAAATTTTGGTAGGAACATGTCCCTATGGTCCGTATGCAAAACTACGCCCATGCAACAACAAGATATTGGGGGTTTTCCACAGAGCTACATTATATTAAAAATCGCAAAATATCTCTTTTGTTAATGTTATAAAGTGACAACGTAATGTAACTTTTATGCCACTAGCGGCCATAATTGTACAAGAATCCGGTGCAGAGATGGATTAGAAGAGTTAATCAAGCTGTCAGCATGTCCTGTTCTGTGTCCTGCAATAAAGGTGGTTTCAGAAGACAAGAATAGGAAGCAGAAAATCACAGTTTATGTATGGTATGTTGGGATAAGCCGTATTGTGACACATGTATCCCGATACGTCGCCTTTCTATCATGCAAAAACTCTGCCAGGAATAGTTTCATTACTCAGTTTCATATAAGATTATTGTTTGCACCCTTTCTCTTGTTTAGTTTTGTCATGCGAATATTGATCTACCTCTCTGTAAATAATTGTCCAATGCAAACATGATAATTGATTAAATGTTCATTGAAAGTTTAACCTGCTTTGAAAGAGATTAAATTTTTGTTACATCCTTAATAGCATCTCATTATTTTATCTTTATTATATTGTATAGTTGGATGTGTGTATATATCATGTAAAACTGTAACTAGAGCGTGTAACAAAAGTAATTTCCCTCTGGGATTATTAAAGTATTTCTGATTCTGATTATTTTGGCTTTAACTTAAGCTTTTATACCATAAGAGTTATTTTGAGTAAAAAAAAAAGAAAGAAACACATAATAAAACATTTTGTTTGTTTTTTTCTTCTATTTACAAAAGCTGTGCAACAGAAAGTATTTGAGTCAGTCCTTGGTACAAAATTGAAATTGTACATTAAGTGAGCAATCTTGTCACCAGAAAGAATAATGTTAAAAAAAACAAGTAAAGAAATAGTTTTGTTGTATTCTTAAGGATAAAGTTCATGCATGTGTTTTGCCTTCCCTCCTCTCAGGCGGCGTTGCAGGGAGCACCCAGCGATAGCAGTCCGCAAAGCTGAGACTCTTGTCTACTGCACAACTGGTGAGGTAGACGATTCCCAAAGCAAGCATCACGACCAGGAACACACACAGAGGGACCAGCAGAGCCACAAGCAGCCAACTCTTGTCATGTTTGCGTTTCCCACCAGAGGAGCTATCCGCTGTCGTGTTTGTTTGATCTGTACTCTCTATCTTAGGTGTCTCAGCCTCTTCAGTCTCACTGGGTGAAATATCGGCCTTTTTAGGTGTCATCCGGTTGTTGTTTTCGCCACCTCCAGGGTGAACATCATCATCAATATGGTTTCCTGTTCTCGTTATTTGGGTTGGGGATGGAACTGTCTGATATTGTTCTGGTAAAGACTCCTCCCATTGGCTGAGGTGGTTATCTGACTGATGAGCCATATCAGGGGTGAGTACTTGAGGGGCATCTGTCAATGAATCAATGTTAAAGTTGCCATCACCTTTAAAATATGGATCCTGAGTGGCCCAGTAAAAATCTGGATCATCATAGAGACTTGGGTCAGGGGTCATAGTAGAATATTCTCCATCGTAACTGGAAGGTTGGCAGGTAATTCCGTCTTCCTTCAGCTCAAAGCCACTGTCACAGTCGCATTTGAAGGAACCATGCAAGTTAATGCAATGTTGGTCACAGGTTGAATGCTGACATTCATCTAAATCTATACATTCGCCATTGCTATTTGACTCAAATCCTGGATTACAAAGACAGAGGTAGGAGCCCTCAACGTTTTCACAGGCGAACTCACAGGTGCCTTCATCGCGGCACTCGTCTATGTCAACACATTCGTCTGAACTGTCTGGCTGGTATCCTGGAAAACATGTGCAGTGAAACGTTCCTGGAGTGTTGACACAGAGTTGGGGACACGGCCCTTGTCGGCATTCATCCACATCCAAACACTTGCGTCCATCTGAAGCTATTTGGTAGCCCGGGGGGCAGGTGCACCGGGTGTTCCTAGCTGTTATTGAGCAGTCGTACTCACAACCCATATCTACACAAATCCGATTGACGTGGGGCTGCTCTGTGGCAAAGGCGGAGTCTGACAGCACAGGTGAGTTCGTTTGGCTCCATTTGTCTGGGATGCAGCTCGTTCCATCCTTATCCAATGTGTAGCCATCAGAGCAGTAGCAGTAGTAATAGTTGTGTGTGCTCTGACAGTGCTGCTCACAATTATGGTTATTGCTGCACCAGTCCTGATACGGTTTAGTTGCACTGGGTGAACAAAAAGGTGGATCTTTGGACCAGCTTACTCTGCCGTCATCCCTCTCAATACACAGCATGGATTCTCTAGAGGGTGCACCTAGCTCTGAGCTTTCTGGAGGACATGACAGATCAACTACAGACCCGTAGGGCAAATGGGTCAGTTGGGTGCTTTTGAAATGAAATGGGGTTTCATAAACTGCCGGACCCCAACCCTCATCCTCCACGGGGGGACACATTCCCCTGTAAGTGTACTGGCATATAAATCCATCCAGTTTAAGAAGACAGGGACCCTCGATCCAACGGAAATTCTCGCCACTCTCTCCTCCATTCTCGGACGTATGCACAGTCATGGCTACGCAACGATGGACTGCACAAGTGTTGGGCATTATTTTACGGTTCCAGTTGGTGAATGAGCCATCCTGGTTTCCTGTTGAAGAGAGGAGCAAATACCTTATGAGTAAAAACAAATAATTATGAGAGGTTTTACATTTGAGCTATATTTGATATTTATTTCAAGTCTAACATAACAGAGGTGCAACTTTATGTTTTTTTTAATGGTTTCTTCCTTTTTAGGCTGTGAGATGTAGTGAAAACTAACATTGCATTAAAGCACAAAATTGTCTGGATTTTCATTTTCTGATAGATGAATTCAATTGCATTTTGCAAAGGATATTCCGACACTCTCATCTCATTGATGTGAACAGTTGATCTTTAAAGGAATAGTACACCCAAAACATGATTAGCCTTCATTTTCTACTCACCCCCATGCTGAACAACACTCTGGAGGACTTTTTTGATATTTCAAATGCATCTGGAGATCTGGGAGGCTTCTTGCTGTCTGCTGACATTCAAATAATGGAGGTCTATGGTGCCCGAGACAGAAAGGTCCATAAAAGTCCACAAAAAACGTGTCAATATTCCTCCATACTGCTCGTCCAATGTATTCCAAGTGTCCTGAGTGGGTAGCATCCAGAATTTACTCGAAACGAAGTCATTTAGAATGTTTTTAGAGCATAAACAGTAGTGTATAGGATTTCCTGAAAGCGCGCGCCCGCACGTTCACGACGCTACGGAAGCCGGCAGACCAACCAGATGAAAGTGCGCATTCAGCGTCTGCTCTGCCGATAATGCAAGCGTAGAATAGCAGTATGGAGGAATATTGACACGTTTTTTGTGGACTTTTATGGACCTTTCTGTCTCGGGCACCGTAGAACTCCATTATTTGAATGTCAGCAGACAGCAAGAAGTCTCCCAGATCTCCAGATGCATTTGAGATATCAAAAAAGTACTCCAGAGTGTTGTTCGGCATGGGGGTGAGTAGAAAATGAAGGCTAATCATGTTTTGGGTGTACTATTCCTTTAAGTTTAAGATTCATCCCCACTAGGTGTCGCCAAAATAAAATAAAAAAACAAGAAAGTCCCGTGGAGTTAAGAATCTACAAAAATGACCCTTTTATCCCCTTGTTATTCCTATTTATGGAGGTAAACATAGCTTTGACAAAATTGGAAACTGGTGATCTAGGCAGGATTTAAACAAGCAGGGAGCTACTTAGTATTAAGTGATGCTTTAAAATAATGAAGGGAAGGAATGCTTCAATTTGTCTCTCTCCAAAGGTAAAATAAGCAAAAACATTTGCATAAGTAAGGGATTTGTGATGCAGGGGAAATAATAGTAAACAGGTCATAAAACTCCTTAAAACTAAATTCTTCTGCAACTGCAGACAAAGAGACACATCTGTTTTTTTTCTTTTAGTGTGCATAATGACTAAATCAGACTGGGGGAGTAACAGAAGGGTCAAAATGGAGAAAAAAAATCTCCTAGTTATACCCAGCTAGTCTGGAAAATAAAAAGAAAGAAATGCATTAACCATCCAGGGAGCACATAGCTTGGCGAACTGGCATTAATGCCAGTGTCCAACAGGATCTGGTGTGGCAGTTTGGTTTACTGCCATCGTATTTCAACGCTCAGGGAATAGAGAGAGGTTTTAATGGTCTTTAAAGTCCTTTTAATGATATGCTAAAAGAGTTTTCTGCAAGGAGCATAGATAAACTGGCCTTGCTGTTTTTCGCTACCATCACCTGATTGAAAGGAAGACATTTTTCATAACTCACACAGAAAATATCAGTTTAGGTACTTGAAAAAAAACATCCAATAAAAGCAATTTAAAGCCACAGCAAGCAACACATTCTTTTAAATGACTTAAATGCGCTCTTTCTAAATATTTCTGTTAGTAAAAACATACTCTAGGTTTTACATACCTTCCCTGTTTTATTTTATATGGTTTGTGAAGCAACGTCTTATGCTTAAATACTATTAATCTCTGTTTAAAGTGGATTTTTCATTGATCCATCAATCAATGAATCCTATTCCTTGTACGCTAATTTCCCCCCTTATATCGCCTGTACATTAATCATCTGATCAAATGCCTAAAAGTCACAAAAAGAAGAGTAAAAATCCAACCAAATATGTTTATATAATTTTCTTTGATGAGTTTTCTATCAGCATGATCGATACCAGAAAAAAGGTAAAAGACCTTTTTTGATGCGTAAATTGGGTAGTAGTTTCTGATTTATGTTGAGGTTAAAAATGGGACGTCCTGTGGGAGGTTCTGCAGAAACAGTTTTCATTTGTTTTCTGTATTTATCTAAATCCTCATAAATAAAAACTGAAATTGGTCAAAATGCGACTCAGCATCTCTGTCCTCAGGAAAAAAAATCTGATTTTTTTATTATTGGCAAAAGCCATGTATCTCAACAGCCAACAATACAACAATGTATGTATAATAAATAATAAAAAAAAAAATGTGAAAAACATAAGACTTTGCCTGCAACCCAGGTGAATCCTCTTAGTGGTTTTGTGGATGAACACTGGCGTGGAGCACGGTGCAGTCCAATCCAAAGGCGAAGAGTCCCAGAACCTTGAACACCAGCCGATGACAGCAGTTTATGGACAAAACCTGCAGCTTCCTGAGTCTGCATCGTCACTAGAGTCCCATTTCCATCCATGCAGGTCTGCCTTGCCTCCCTGAAGTTCTTCTTTTGGAAGAAGACGGCGTGGCATCCCCTCTGGTGGCAGATAGCATCACTCTCACCCAGCTGACTTTCAGCGGCTGTCTGCTCCCTCACACTTTGGCCCTGACTCCCAGGAGCCAAACAAAGTGTCAGCAGTGATAAAAAGCACCAGAGAGACATGCTCCTGCTGCTGCTCCTTCTGATATCAAACATTGTCAATGATGACAAAAGGAGGGACAAAATCTTACATATAAAATGTTAGTACTCTGTAAAATAAATATCCTAACAATGATGGAAAACAAATAGTTTTATGACCCCTAAAACCAAACCAAAGGCTTTTAATGAAATACTGGAGGTGAAAGCTTAAAAATTGGCATCAGAAAATTATCTTCACCGGATAAAGACCCCATCCACTGTAAACCTTCATTCAAACTGTCACTATTTCTGGCAATTAAATGTTTTATAAAACATAGGTAAAAAAAAAAAAAAAAAAAGCAATTAGATCCTATTAAACTGAGTCCAGTCCCGTTGTCCAGGTCCCAAATGGGGGGGAATGTATTTTTCCATATATGAGGTCAGTAAATATCCGGAGCAGAAACCCTGTGCTAAATCTAATCCCGGTTCTTGCCTCTGCAAAGCAGACTTTCAGACTGAGCATCAGAAAGAGAACCAGACTTGGAGAGGACTGAGGAGGGGGTGGAAGGCTACGTAGAGGAAAATTATTGAGGGGAATTGTGAGCTTTTCGAAGAGGGGGCTGGTAAAATGAGTATCTAAAGGAACTCTGGTGGGGATGGTGTGTGTGTGTTGGGGAGCTGGGGGTGAATGGGGTAGCTGGAGGGTTGAAAGCCCTCAGAGAGCTATGAAAACCATATGATGACACTCTGTCCCATATGCATACACATCAACACAAACATTAGATTTTATGCAGCTCAGGATCAGCAGGGTAAAAAGCATGATTCAATTTTAGCAGATGCTGAAATGTTGCATTTCTTGTTCATTGTTATCCACGCTTTTACTCATCCCTGATGTTTTTCCCTTCTAGTTTTTCTTCCCTAAAGTCTCTTAATCTCTATGCATTCACTCATGAACGTTCCTCTCTGTCCCCTTCTTCTCTATCTCCTCTGTGGTCCATGCCAGCTGGAAGGTTTTACTGCTTGATGGAAACATTATGGAGCAGCCATACCTGTTTAAATGTTCACATTCCGTGGGTGACTTCATTCTCTTGCTGATAAAAATGAACTCCACAGAGGCGCAGATGTTTATGTGTGTTCCTCAGCGTGTGAGTGAGTAGAACTTGGGGGCATATGGAGGAGAGGAAGCAGGAAATGCCAGATGTGCATCAGCTTGACCTCTCCATGGCTATGGGGCAGTGGTGACCTGTGGGAAGCACCTCCACATATGCTACATTATCCATCCACCATCAACAGCATGCTGGAAAGTCAAAGACTGGATTTTGGGTTTCTCCAAAGAAAACTTAAATTTCTTTATTTTTCCTTCTGCCTGAGTGAAGACTAAAGCTGGAGGATATTACATGAAACCAATAGCTACAAGCCGAGCCTTGAAGGGAACTGGAAGCTGAATGTTAAAGTCTCTCCTTCATCCAGCAAAAACATTCTTGTTCCAAACACCAACATCAGTGTCATTTATTAGGATTCTGTGCCCTAGAGCAACACAAAATATAATATAGAAAGTTATAAACAGTACATTCTATCAGCTGTCTTTGTTGTTTTTAGAAATACAATTTTGAAATGTGTTGCATGCATATTTATCCTAAACTTTGTAGAGCATGCGGGCTGTGCAGTGGGTAGCACTGCTGCCTTGCAGCAAGAAGGTTCTGGGTTTGATTCCTGGCCCGGGGTCTCCGGGTTTGCATGTTCTCCCTGAGCATGTGTGGATTCTATCCTTCCTCTCATAGTCCATAAACATGACTGTTAGGTTAAAGGAAAATTCCGGTTTTTAACACTTTTAGCCCATTTTCTGTAGTGTCCAGGATGAAATCGAATGATCAACACCAAAATTTTGACAATTGGTCCTGTCTCTGCTATTTGGCTCATGCAGAATCCCCCCCTGGCTGCTTCAGAATGGCTTCCATAGTGCATGTCCGATAATGTCCTTAAAACAACCTTAAACGTTCTTTTTTTAAAATATGCTACTCACCTGGTCGTCAGCGCTGTTCAATGAGGTTCCAAAAAAAGTTTCATGAAGAAAAACCGTTCCTGTCTTGTTTTATTTAGCATTTTGTAAATCCCAGAACTATTTTTTTTCGATACATCACAACCGCTTATAAACTTCCGCTTCCCGTTCGAATCTGAAGCGTTGCACACTCCAGACCACTAGTTGGCGACGGTATCCTCTACCGTCAAACTCAAAGTCCAATATGTCCTCCTCAAGAATCCACCTTTCGTATTCCATTTTCAGAGTTTTTTAAAGTGTTTAACAGAGACGTTAGCACCTCGACGTCGGAGTACACAGAGTGAAGCAGGAACACTTGGGCCTTGCGAAAAGACTACAACTAAGCGTAAACAGGCCCCATTTCCGTTTCCGGTGGCGGAGGGATATTGACTATTCCAACAGAACTCAATGGGATTTACAAAATGCTAAATAAAACACTACAGGAATGTTTTTTCTTTACGAAACTTTTTTTGGAACGTCATTGAACAGCGCTGACGACCCGGTGAGTAGCATATTTTAAAAAAAGAACGTTTAAGGTTGTTTTAAGGACATTATCGGACATGCACTATGGAAGCCACTCTGAAGCAGCCAGGGGGGGATTCTGCATGAGCCAAATAGCAGAGACAGGACCAATTGTCAAAATTTTGGTGTCGATCATTCGATTTCATCCTGGACACTACAGAAAATGGGCTAAAAGTGTTAAAAACCAGAATTTTCCTTTAATTGGGTGTATGTGTTAATGGTTGTTTGTTCCCTGCCTCACAGCTGATAGGCACCAGCCCCCTTCTTGACCCTGATAGGGATAAGCCTGATGGAAAAAAGGATGGATTGGATTAATCGACTTTGTAGAGCTACCATTTCCTGCACTTACATTTCTAAGCCATTTTTTGGAATGACTATTGTTAGGTTTATTCAATGATGATTATAAAATTAATGTGTGTGTGTGCTTATAAAACATTGGAGCAAGGAGATGCTCCACTCTGTCTTGTGATTCAGTCAGGAGGAGACCACCCTGCGTTGTGATTCAGTTAGTGGAGTATCCTGTCTTATGAACTCATCAATTGTTCTGTCAGAACAATACTGTTTTGTAACCATGTGTTATGTTCTGTTAATAAAAGACAACTGCAGGAGGGGGGTCGAAGAAAGAGCTGGAAGTTGGGTTGGGCTTTTTCCACTCCTGCAGGAGTTGTTTGAATCTCTTTCCTGTGTGGACTCAGTTTCTCTTTTACAAACTTACATTTTTGAACCTAACAACTATGACCTGGATGACCTTTTCGATCCTTTCAGTCCTTTTCGATATTTCACAGCTTTTTATGCTTAGACACTGAAATATGGTATTCATGTATGTTCATGGTATATTATAGTAGCATGCAAAAAAACACTGAAGTTGTGCTGGATGTCAACACAAATGCTCAAACTGCAAAACACTAAAGATCCTATAAGAGATCAGTTAATTTCTTCTTGGAAAAGAGTATTTAATTCAGCTGTTTTCCAACAAAACGAACATGTAATACTGCCCTAATGCATTATAGCCCAATTTGCTGTGCCTCCCAAGAAAAGACGAGGGGATGGAAAAGTGATGCATTAAGGGAAAGGGATGCCGCCAGAGCAGTTATTAACCACAACCAAATTAATCTAAGCCTCTGTTATCTCTGTGGAGATGAGACATCTGACAATGGACTGCTGGTTCTGGCAGGCAGAGGATATAATATTATTATTAGTCAGCAGTTTTTACCAGTTATGTAACAACTCCTGTAGCTAGCGGGAGAACATGCAACCTCAGGATTCTGGAGAGCCTGAAGAGCTTTTGATGTTGTTGCCCACCTCTTTAAACCAAATACCTTATTTTTCTCTGTTTTTCTTGGACTCCAATCAGACCTCATTACCACCAAATGCCTCAAAACCCTTTTTTTTATCCAATGTGTCCCTTTTCTCCTTCTAGCTCCTTCTCAAGAATCTATCTCTGATACTTTAAACCATGCAGGCTACCATTTTCCTTTTTCAGGATTTTTTTAAAACCCCCTAACCCTCATTCTTTGCCTGATAAATTCATAACTCAGCCTGTTTTTAGCTCCTCCTCTTTCTCAGGCAGAAAGGCCCCTAGAAACATACCAGAAGCATGATTGATAGAGCAGACAAACTTCTCCTTTCCATAGTCGTGCTCTCCCAATTCCCTTAGTTACCATTAATCCAGACACATTGTGTCAAAGTCTCTATAATCACCAACCCAAAGAGCTCTAATGGAACATACACGTTTCTTTATTTAATATCTGTCGCCTCTGAAGTCATATTCAGCTCTTGACTGTTAACCTATTGCCACATGTCACTGGCTGTGAATATTTCACACTTTCAAGCGTCTTTACAGATGAAGTTTACTTAAGTATTTCCAAATAATTTAAATTGAATCATTTAACAGGCAAAAACATGTTATTGATTTAGCTTTCTTCACTGAGTACTTGAGACAAAGGTTGTTTGCCTGATTTAACAACACAGAAAGGATTTTTAAATGTTTGCTTGGTTCAGATACGGCCCAGTTTGGGTTCTGGACAGACTTTTTCATGCTATCATCATGGGCATGAATGTCATTTTCATTTGAAAAATGTATTTGATCATTTTTAGCAATGTGAACTTGTAAAGGTTCTCACTGGTCTTAGTACAACGTGATCTGTTATAGCAGTGAATGGTAAAACTTTAACAATGTTTAAACAAGAATGAGCAGCTCAAGCTTTGATTTATCGTTGGTTTTCTCTGGTTGATTGGGTTGAGCTGAGGAAGTTTTATATTAGTTGTTTTTTATTTATTCCTACTCCAGTTCTGGTTGTCTTCCATCATAGCTGTTGATTAATGATGAAGTACTACAGTACTACTGATGCTAGAAAGGTTTCTACCAACACCTTCCTTGAGAGAGAGAGATTCCTTGAGAATCTGAATCAACTTTAGTAGCCAAGGTGGTGTTAAAAAATAGGAATTTGATTTCAGTTTTTCATCGATTATATTATATATAATATATTTAAATAAAGCTTAAAAGAGGAAGAAAACAACCTGAAAGATTGATAGCGTGTAGAAATTAAAGTACATGTATCTATCTGGAAGGCACCTGTAGAATCTGTTAGCAAAAGGGAGGAACATTCAGCACAATCCTTCGAACTTATTGGCTACCTGTCTCCCATGTTGAGTTTTCAGCCAATCACAGCAGCAGTAGCAGCATTATTCGTTTAACAACAAGCGGAGTTAACTGATGAATCAAACTCAAAAACATCACAAAAAGGCATATTTGATTTTTTTCTTGTTTTCCACAAAGAAATAGAGGGTATTCAAGCTAAAACTTGGTGGATGACCACGTACACATCAAATAATTTCATTGGTTGGAAACATTTCTGTATTGAGGCTAATGCATCTGTTGGCTCCTGGCAAGATATCTTTTTTAGAGTTTGTGAATTCACAGTTTATCTTGCTTGCAAGTAAAAATACAAAAACGATGAGCTCAAAAAT